GGGGCCGCCAGGGTTGTGCTTCGCCGCGGCGGCAGCGGCGGCGGCGCCAGTGGCTCAGGATGCGGCCGGGGGGCGCGCTGCTTGCCCTGCTCGCCAGCCTGCTGCTGCTCCTGCTGCGCCTTCTGTGGTGCTCGGCCGACGCGCCTGCCCGCTCCAGGTAACCTACTGACTGCGCTTGGGCGGACTCGCGCGGACAGTCCGTCCCCGCCCGCCCGGGCGCCCCGCCGAGCGCCCTGGGAGCCCCAACAGCAGGTCGACCGACTTCGGCGCGCAGACTTTTTGGCCAGTTCGAGGAAAAGCCGACGGGCAGCGGCGGGCTGAGAGTGGGAGGTTCAGGAGATAGGGCTAGAGGTTAGAAAGGTGGGCAGGGAGGTGGCAGAAAGGCGACACTTGAACTGAGTGTCACCATTTGGGGCCAAGAGGGGACGATCGGGGTTGCGAGGGTTCCAGTGTAGGTCGCTGTGGCCGAGGAAGCTGCGAAGCGGGGACCTGCCGTCGGTTTCCCCATCAGTATTCCCGGCTCTCCATTCTGGTCCATGTTGTCCCTTCCTTCCCGCCCTAATCTTCTTCAAACTCCGTGATTTGGGACCTGCCTGGGGAGCAAGGGCGGGCGGAGGATGCGCTGGCCAGGCTTCGAGCCAGATGCCGAACCTGCCAGCGAACTGCTCCCTGCAAGGTATAGCAACTTAGTTTTCTTTCTGGCTGTGCAGGCTTTTGTTGGAGGAAAGCAGGGAGGCCACCCACGGCACCCCCCCAGCGCTGAGGATGCTCAGGAGCCCTGCTACCCCGGTACCGCGCACCACGAACAGGTACCGTCGGCACCTAGTGGCGCGCTGGCGGGCGGGGGTTCCCGGATCGCGGGCGCGGGGTGGGGCGCGGTTGTACCCGCAGGACTCGCTTGGAGTTGTCTGGTTGGGACTAAACGAGTGAATGAGTGTGATTGTGTGCGTGCGTGCACTCGTACGTGTGTAACACTTCACGCTCCCACAACCTGCCTTTTAAAAGCCCCTTCCTCGATGGGGATGTTCTTTGAACCAAGGGAAATACCACAGAAGATGCACTAAAAAAAAAGAAAAAGGGTGTCGAGCTTCCTTTGCTGAATGGTGTGTTGAAAACCCTGAGAGAAGCAGCTCATCCTGTCTTTAGTGAGGGATTTTATTGGTTTGCTTTTTTGTCTTCCGTGCTTTAAAGTGCACCAATGTCAAGATCCAGGTTTAGGAGAATGGAATGCTGTGCACGATGTTGAGAATGTTTTTGGCCTTAGTGAGTGGAAACTTAAATTTTTTCTTTATCATTCATAAGAATATTATCCACGTGCAATAGTTATTTGGCTTTTATCTTTTTTATTTTATTGTAAAAGTAATACAGGCTTGATGATGAAAGTTAGACAATAATATATACAAGAAAATACTCAGAGCCACAACACCGAGAGAGAATGGTAAGGTTTTGGTTAATTTTTTTTCAATGGTTATTTTCCATACACATGTATTTTGAAGATATAGGTAAGATTATACTTTGTATGGATTTGCCTTTTTCACCAAAGAATCATTCATAATACTTGTCATTAACGTTTTCCCAAATCATTGCCTTTAATTGTTGCAAAATTCATCATATGAAGTGCTATAATCTGTATAACTGTTTCAATTTTTAGACCTTTAGATGGTTTCCAGTTTTTGTTTTGTTTGCTATCAATAATTTTATTAAAATGTACATTTTTGTATGTAAACCTTTATCTTTATTTCAAATTAAATCTTAGAATGGACTGATAGAAGTTGAATTATTAGGTCCAGAACATGTACATTTTAGGTTCTAAATACATATTGTCAATTGCTTCCTAGAAGAGTTGCATCAGTTTACATTTTCACCAGCGGAAGGTTCTGCTTTGTCCCTCACCATTGCGATTATTATTAAAATCTTATATACTGTCCTTTTCCCTCTATTTCTCTTTCTTGAATCCCCTTTCCTCTGTGTTTCCTTCTGTATATTCTTAATCTTCTGGTTGAATGACTCAGGGCTCTGGTGTGGCTCTGCATGGTCATAGGAAGGGCCTGGGAGTACCTGGAGGACAGGAACAACACTGCCTGCCATGATATGCCCCCCATCAACTGCTGACTGAAAGGTGGGCAGCCGCAACCCACCAGCTGCTCTTGGAGAGAAAAGACCTGGTGATCTGCTCCTGTAAAGATTACAGCCTAGGAAACCCTATGAGGCCAGTTCTACTCTGTCATGTAGGGACGCTATGAGTTGGAACCAAACTCGACAGTTCCAACAACAACAAGAAATCCTGGAGTAACAGAGGCTTTTGAGAAAAACATTGGCCTATAGTTTTATTTTATGCAGATTTGGATTTTATAGGTAGCCCAGCCTTAGCAATGAACTGGGGATTCCATCTGTTTCTAAGTCATGGGACTATTATACTTACTGGGGTTGCTGCTTTGGGAAAGTTTGAAAGAATGCACTAATTAAATTATCTGGTTCTAGGCCTATTTTGAGGTAATTCTTTGATGAATTTTTCAGTTTCTCTGGCATACTTCTTTTCTACTTGGCACACTTCTTGAGGTAATACAGGCAATTCAATTTTTTATTTTTTTTCGGAATGTGGTCTATTTTATTAAGGTTTTTTATTTACTACCATTCTGCTGTTTTTAAAACCCCTTTGTCTTTTGATCTATTTGATATCCCCTTTTTCATTTATGATTTTAATTATTTGTTTTGCAGGGGTACACATTTTAATCCACCTTACTACTTGGATGTGTAGGGAAATTTGTAATTTCTTAGCTTTTCTTCAACTAGTCTGATCTTCTTTCATGAACCCCACACTCTATGTGATGATGCTAACAGTGATAATGATAGCCAATACCTATTGAATTCTTCTGATGGACCAAGCACTGATCTAAGCACCTTGCAGTTATTAACTCATTTAGTCCTCAAAAAATACTAAGAGATACAACTATCATGATCTTCACTTTATAGATGAGGAAACCGAGGCACAGAGAGATTGTGTAAATTGCTCGAAGTCACAGAGTTAACAAATTGTGTAGCTAGGGGTCAAGCATAGGCTATGTGGATCCATATTCCCAACTTCTTAATCTCCCTACTGTGCTGTCTTTTATAGGTAGGAATGTGGGTGTGTGTCCAAAATATTTGATCTAGGTTAAAGCTTGGTCGGTCATCTGTGAGAATTTAAGCAACTCTTAGTACATACTGTTTCTGAGAACAAATGTTCATTCTCAGATTGCTCCTGCCATCTCTTGCTTCTCACCTAAAGATGACATCCAGATGTCTAGGGGACAGGGGCTTAGATAATGTGGTGGTAGAGTTAAGAGTTGGGGTTATGGCCGTGGTATCCTTTTACTCTTCTAAACTCTAGGATGATGTTGTCCCTTTTCCATCTGGTGGCTCTGCATCCTTCTCATAGCCAGTTATGAAATATACAGCTTGTGGTTCATTTTTTCCCCTCAGGCATTGCTCCTGCTGGTACTTCCTGTCTGTCTTGGCCTTACCTGAGCTCCCACTGATGCTGTAGACCTCTAGGAGATCTGGTGGAGATTCTCTCTGGGTCCTACCTTGGGCTATCACTCTGCAGCATTTGCTACAGTGCTGTCTCAGCCAGTTATAGCTAGCTCACCCCATAGCCAGATTCCCAGGTATTTCCAGATCCCCTGTAAGCATACAAGAACCTAGATTGCTTCAGGAAAGTTAAATGTCAGGATCTCCCTCTGCTTGCCCCATCAAGTAGATGTGACCCTGTTGTTGTTAGTTGCTGTCAAGTTGATTCCGACTCATGGTGACCCCATGTATGCAGAGTGGAACTACTCCATAGGGTTTTCAAAGCTGTGGCCTTTTGGAAGCAGATTGCCAGGCTTGTCTTCTGAGGCATCTCTCAGGTTCGAACTGCCAGCCTTTTGGTTAGCAGTTGAGTGCTTAACCGTTTGCGCCACACAGGAACTCCACTCTGAGTTAACTTCTGCATGAGGGACTGCCCAAAAGGTGATTTATTTCCAGAGACCTAACTGGGAGTGAGGAAACCCTGGTGGCATAGTGGTTAAGAGCTACAACTGCTAACCAAAAAGTCGGCACTTCAAATCCACCAGGCGCTCCTTGGAAACCCTATGGGGCAGTTCTGCTCTGTCCTGTAGGGTCGCTATGATTTGGAATCGACTGAACGGCAACGAGTTTGATTTTTGGTTTTTAATTGGGAGTGAAGGACCACTGGTGGTACAATGGTTAAAAGCTTGACAGCCAACCAAAAAATCGTAGGTTCGAACCCACAAGTGCCTCTGCAGGAGAAAAGACCTGGTGATCTGCTTCCATAAAGACTACAGCCTAGGAAACACTGTGGGACAGTTCTGTGTCCTATAGGGTTGCTATGAGTCAGGATCTGCTTGAAGGCAAATAACAAAGGCCCCTCTGCCCTTGTTGTTGCCCTCATCTTTCTCTGTCCAAGCCGTAGCTCTCCACTTTCTTTTTTTCTCTTCTTCCCATTCCAGGCTGGAAATTGTCAGTCTTTCCCTTGCCTCATATTTTCTTTTTTTCTGCCTCAAACCTCTAGGCCTAACTCAAGTCTAAGCCTTGATGGTAAATTGTGAGGATTGAGATGGAAGGAAATTAGGAAGACCCAAAGAGTTGTGCCTTCCAGATAAGGTGGTTAATATGCCAAAGAGGGAGAATGAAAGGAATTTGGAAAATCTTTTCTCTGGGCTGTAGCTAAACCCTATTTTGCTAGTCTAAAGCTTAATATTGCCTTATCATTTCTCTGCATTGTTTAAGTAAAAAATCTTAATTTCTCCATCATTCCACAATGAATGCCTCAAAATGACTAGGTAAAGATTCTGTACTGAGAAAGATAAAAGAGAAAAATGTACTAATAATTTTCAGAATATGCCCCTATTACAGTGGATTCTTTCTCTTTCTAATAAGGTTGTCAAAATTTGTCATTGCTGGTTTGTTTTGCAAATAACCAGCTCTTAGATTTATTTACTAATTCTGATCTATTCCCATGTTCTATTTCCTTTGCATTACTTTTATTTTTTTAAATTTTATTCTTTTTTTAACTTAATGTCTTGAAGTGAATGCTTGCTGTATTTATTTTATTTTTCCCTTTTTCTTTGTAATAAAAATATTTAATACTATGAGTTTTCCTTTGAATGCAGCTTTGGACCTATTCCTTAAATTAGGATACACAGTGCTCTAGTTTTTAAAAATATGTTGTAAATGTTAAAATTATAATTAATTTTTTAAATTTTGCATTATCATCATAGTTATTTAGGAGAGGACTCTTACATTTACAATTTGTTGGAGTATTTTTCTTAAATAATTTTTATTTTGAGTATAAAAGAAATTCAGCGGGGCCCTAGTGGCACAGTGATTAAGAGCTAGGCTGCTAACCAAAAGGTCAGCCGTTTGATTCCACCAGCAATGGGTATAAAAGAAATTCGATAAAACCCTGCCATAATCTGGTGAGTTCACAAATACCCAATAATTAGAAACATACCCATTAAAACCATTGTCACTGAGTTGATTCTGACCCATAGTAACCCTACAGGACAAAGTAGAACTGCCCCATAGGGTTTCCAAGAAGCAGGTGGTGGATTCGAACCACCAACCCTTTGGTTAGTAGCCGTATCACTTAACCACTGTGCCACCAGGGCTTCAGTCAGAGACACAGGGTTGAATTATTGTGAAGTTACTCAAACGGCCAGAGCACACTGTGTAACTAACTGGCTTGGAGTTCTAGGGTCCACTCACAGGAACTGTCCAGGTCCTGGTTGCAGTTTCACACCATTTAGTGGCAATTGTCCACTCTGTT